GTTTCGTGCGGACCAACGTAGAAGATTTCATGGACCCCGTCATTGGGGTAGTTGTGAATGTCCTTCACCTCCTTGTAATGGAAGCCGGAGGCGGCGTAGGCGGCGAGCATTCGCTCCACGCCGTGGCTCGTCACCCACTCATCGTGCCGATACATGTTGGTCGAGAATGCTGACTTCTCCGGCGGCTCCCCCTCGAGAGCGGGGAGCTGCAGCTGCATCAGCTCCGTCACAACGGCGGGATCCAAGTCATGCGCGGTAATCACGCGCCGCTGTGGGTCGTTCACACGCGCCCCGTTGGACGTAATAACGTAGCCACCGTGAAGGCCACAGCTGTCGACAGTGTGTAGTGCGGCCGGGTGCGGGCGTCCGGTGGCAAACACGACCGGAATACCCTTCTGCATCAGCAACTGAAGTGTCTCGGCGGTGTACGTGGAGATGGTGTGGTCGCGCCGCAGCAGTGTACCATCAAGGTCCGCCACCACCCCACGATATGGTCCGGCCATCGACGAACTCCTGGCACGACGAAAGAAAGCAATGAAAAATAAATATAATGGAAAATAGAGTGGTGAACACCTTGCGTTCCCTTTCATAGAAAGATGTGAACAGAAGGGGAGATGCTTGCCCTGAGTCTCTGCTTCTCTCACTTCACTTTAATAAGTCAACGCCCTGGCGAGAGTTGGCTGAGGCCACCCATCCTGTCTATGAGCCCGTTGTTAGCGCCTAGCAGGAGGAGGATGCCCAACACGTCGTCGCCCCGCCACCCGCGAGGGCCGCAGCGGGACGTGTTGGGCGGGCCGTCAACACTTACGCCTTTCAACCGGCTATACCCTGACAACTAGATAATATATATATATATATATATAGGCGCCACAAGGCAGATGCTTCTCTTTGGCTGTTTATTTACGCTCCGCTCGGCATGCTCCGGTAGATTAAATTCAACGTATCAAACCCACTTACACACATTCATACTATTTTCATACCCTAACAGCAACTGTCACACACTACACGTACCCAGATGCATATATGTATATGAGCACTGCCCCTTCGAAGAGCACCACACGCTACAGCGCAAACACCTCCCGCAGCTTCCGTGCCACGCCGTCCTCCTCGTTCGAGCCGATCACCTCCAAATGCGGCAGCGCCTCCTTCAGTTTTGGCTGCGCATTAGCCATGATGCAGCCTTTCCCCGCTGCCTGCAGCATACTGAGGTCATTCATGCCGTCGCCAAAAGCGACAAAGTCCTNCGCATTAGCCATGATGCAGCCTTTCCCCGCTGCCTGCAGCATACTGAGGTCATTCATGCCGTCGCCAAAAGCGACAAAGTCCTTCACATCAATGCCCAGCAGCTCCGCAACTTCGGTCATGGCCGTTGCTTTGCTTACACCAGGATTCACCGCATCGAGGAGGTGCGGCAGCGAGAAACTGTACTCCACCTTTCCCGCGAAGCGACTCTTGAGGATCTCCTCCAGCCGAAGCAGAGTTTCGTGCGGACCAACGTAGAAGATTTCATGGACCCCGTCATTGGGGTAGTTGTGAATGTCCTTCACCTCCTTGTAATGGAAGCCGGAGGCGGCG